GTTAATAACGAAGCTTGGGATAATAAATAAAGCGTTTTCGGTTTATTACTTTTAAATAAACGGTTAAATAAAACGATTTAATTAAATTATAAAATAATATTTATAAAATTATATTAATTTCGAATAAAATAATTAAATTAAATTATTATTTATAATATAATTAATATATAATATATTATTAATTAAAATAATTAAAGCTATACCGTTTTTCGTAAACTTTAAATATAAAATAGATTTACGGTAAGGATTAAATATAAAAGTATTTAAGGTTAGGGTTAAAGTAAATAAATTATATATATTTTATAATAAATTTAAATAAAAATTAAAGTTTATAAGGGAAAAAATACGGAAATACTATAATATTAAAAAGCTCGAGAGACTTTGCTTTAAAGGGGGGGATATAATATTCCTTTTTATACGTAATTTACGTACTAAAAAATTTAGTAAGAAGTTAGATTATAGGAAAGTAGGCCCGTTTAAAGTTAAAAAAAAAGATTTTAAAAACGGTATTCGAATTAGAATTACTTAATACGATACGTTTATAATTATATATTTTTAATATTTTACTTTTGGAACCCGTATTATTAATAAGTAAGGCTAATATATAGGTAATAGCGGAGGATAAAGAAAAAAACTATAATATAAAAAAAATATTAGATTTATAGTTTAATAAAGGTTAATTAAGATATTTAATTAATTAATTAAAATATTTAATTATAAATAATTTATAGGAATTAAAAATAAATTTTAATTACTTAAATAAATAAAAGGAATTCTATTAATAATATTTAAACCGATTAAAACTTAAGTAAAAGAGATAAGTCTTTAAATTATCGCTAAATAATAATAATATAGAAAGTTAAGAACTTTAATAAGAATCGAATTTACGCTTTTAATATAGTAATTAACGTACTATAGACTATATTATAAAGTTAAAAAGTATAAAGGGGATTAAATATAAATAATATTTATACGTTTTAATTACTTTAAAAAGTAAAAAGTATCCAATCCGCGGTACTTTACGGGTTTAA